GTGTTGCGAAACCTTGGGTTATTGTAGGTTTTTTGGACGCACGATTTTGAAATCCTTCCGAAACCGATGGGTTTTGAAGGTTTTCGGCATACGCCCGCGACGACGCGCGCGTCTGCCCTTCGTCCCATTTTTTGCAGAGGATTCTCGCGACGGCACACGCGCAAGGGCGTTCGACAGATTTCGACATGCGCGCGCGCGAAGCCCGTTTGGTAGCATTTTGTGAAAATCTTGGAAAACCTACGGTTTTCTTAAGATTTTGCAAGAGCTCGCGCGGACATTTTTGTTTTTGTTTTTGAATCAGTGTTGCGAAACCATGTGTTTGTATATGTTTTTTGGAAATTCAATTTTGAAATCTCTCCGGAACCGAAGGTTTTTTAAGGATTTCGGCATGCGCGCGCCACGACGCGCGCGTGTGCACTTCGTCCCATTTTTTGCAAGGGATTCGTGAAAAAGTGATATGTTAGAACAAAACATGTCACCGCATAGTGTTTTTTACAAGGGAACCGCAGGGGGGGGGAACCCGGCTTGGCTGGGATGATATGAATTCATATTTAGGATGGACATGTGGTCAGAATCATACGTAATTTACAGCACGCGCGGGGGACCCGATAAGTCTGGGGGGTGGGTCGAATTTATTAGTCTTTTAGAAAGGAGAATTAATCTTGACCGTCTTGAAGCTGTCCTCTCCACTGCTCGTGCAAACATCCCACCGTTCCAGCCGCAACTTGGTCGCAAGACATCTTCAGACAAGACCGTGACGGTAGGTACTGCATGGCACTTGGCCGCGACACCGATGCCGACGACGACAGCGACATCGACGACGACGGCGCCGCCGACAGCGACTGCGACGACACCGACGACGTCTCCAATGTTTTCGACGGCGACAACGACGACGACGACCCCGACGACGACGACAACGACGCCGACGACGACGACGAAGACGACGACGACGTCGCCAACGGAGACGACGACGAGGGAGGAGAAAAAACGACGACGGCGACAACGACGACAACGACGATGGAGGAGGGAAGACGGCGACGACGCCAACGACGAAGAAGGAGGAAGGACGGCGACGCCGACGACGACAACGACGAGGGAGGAGGGAAGACGACGACGGCGACAACGACGACAACGACGATGGAGGAGGGAAGACGGCGACGACGCCAACGACGAAGAAGGAGGAAGGACGGCGACGCCGACGACGACAACGACGAGGGAGGAGGGAAGACGACGACGATGACAACGACGACGAAGACGACGACGACGGCGACGAAATAGAAGGGACGACGACGAGACGCCGACGACGGACGACGACGACGAGGGAGGAGGATACGACGAGGGAGGAGTGAAGACCACGACGACGACGACGACGGCGACGAAATAGGAGGGACAACGACGAGACGCCGACGAAGACAACGAGGGAGGAAGGACGACCACGGCGACCACGACGACGGAAGCGACGACGACGCCAAGACGACGACGACGACGAGGAAAGACAGAAGACGACGACGGCGACGACGACGACGACGACGACGAGGGAGGAGGGAGGACGACGACGACGACGACGACGACGCAAGAGCGCGCGCGCACAATTTTGTTGAAAACCCGTGTTGCGAAACCTTGTGTTTTTGTAGGTTTTCTGGACGCACGATTTCGAAATCCTTCCGAAACCGAAGGATTTTGAAGGATTTCGGCATACGCCCGCGACGACGCGCGCGTCTGCACTTCGTTCCATTTTTTGCAGAGGATTCTCGCGACGGCACACGCGCAAGGGCGTTCGACAGATTTCGACATGCGCGCGCGCGAAGCCCGTTTGGTAGCATTTTGTGTAAATCTGGGAAAACCTATGGTTTTCTTAAGATTTCGCAAGAGCTCGCGCGTAAGTTTTTTTAGCAAATCAGTGTTGCGAAACCATGTGTTTTTATATGTTTTTTGGAAATTCAATTTTGAAATCTCTGCGGAACCGAAGGATTTTGAAGGATTTCGGCATGCGCGCGCCACGACGCGCGCGTGTGCACTTCGTCCTATTTTTTGCAAGGGATTCGTGAAAAAGTGATATGTTAGAACAAAACATGTCACCGCATAGTGTTTTTTACAAGGGAACCGCAGGGGGGGGGATACCGGCTTGGCTGGGATGGTATGAATTCATATTTAGGATGGACATGTGGTCAGAATCATATGTGATTTACAGCACGCGCGGGGGAGGCGATAAGTCCGGGGGGGGGTAGAATCTATTACTCTTTTAGAAAGGAGAATTGACTACCCTGCACCGCGCTTGACCACTCCACTGCTCGCGCAAACATCCCAAACACCCACCCGCAACTTGGTTCGCAAAATCTCTTAAGACCGTGACGGTGGGTACCAAATGGCACTTGCCAACGACAGCGACGCCGACGACGACAGCGACAACGACGACGACGACGCCGCCGACAACGACTACGACGACACCGACGACGTCCCCAACGACTTCGACGACGCCGACAACGACGACGACGACGACGACACCGACGACGACGACGACGCCGACGCCGACGACGATGACAACGACGACAACGGCGACGACGATGACGACGCCGACGACGACGACAACGACGACGCCGACGACGACGACGTCAACGACGCCGACAACGACGACGACGACGACGACGACGACGACGGCGGCGACGACGACGACGCCGACAACGATGACGAAGACGACGACGACGACGCCGACGCCGACGACGACGACGAAGACGACGACGACGTCGCCAACGAAGACGACGACGAGGGAGGAGGGAGGACGATGACGGCGACAACGGCGACAACGACGACAACGACGAGGGAGGAGGGAGGACGGCGACGACGCGAACGACGAAGGAGGAAGGACGGCGACGCCGACGACGGCAACGACGAGGGAGGAGGGAAGACGACGACGACAACGACGACGACGACGACGACGGCGACGAAATAGGAGGGACGACGACGAGACGCCGACGACGGACGGCGACGACGACGAGGGAGGAGGAGGAAGGACGACCACGGCGACAACGACGACGGAAACGACCACGACGCCAAAAAGGACGACGACGACGAACACGAGGAAAGAAAGAGGACGACGTAGGCGACGACGACGACGACAACGACGCGGGAGGGAGGACGGCGACGACGACGACGACGACGACGCAAGAGCGCGCGCGCACGCTTTTGTTGAGAATCCGTGTTGCGAAACCTTGGATTTTTGTAGGTTTTTTGGACGCGCGATTTCGAAATCCTTCCGAAACCGATGGGTTTTGAAGGATTTCGGCGTACGCGCGCGACCACGCGCGCGTCTGCACTTTGTTTTTTTTTTTGCAAAGGATTCCCGCGACGGCACACGCGCAAGGGCGTTCGACAGATTTCGACATGCGCGCGCGCGAAGCACGTTTGGTAGCATTTTGTGAAAATCTTGAAAAACCTATGGTTTTCTTAAGATTTCGCAAGAGCTCGCGCGGAAGCTTTTTTTGCAAATCAGTGTTGCGGAACCCAGTGCTTTTGTATGTTTTTTTGGAAAATCGATTGCGAAATCCTTCCGGCACCGAAGGTTTTTGAAGGATTTCGGCATGCGCGCGCGACGACGCGCGCGTGTGCACTTGGTTTCGTTTTTTGCAAGGTATTCTTGAAAAGTGCTATGTTAGAGCAAAAAATGTCACCGCATAGTGTTTTTTACAAGGGACCCTCAGGGGGGGGGGAAACCAGCCTGCCTGGGATGGTATGATTTCATATTTAGGATGCACGAGTGTGCAGAATATATATATATATATAAAAAAAAATTATATATATATATATATTATATTTATCTTATATAAAAT